TCCTATATTATAGCTATGAGTTACCCTATAAAAACAACCAGAATTGACAACCCTGTAACATTGTTATAAATCACTTATTCGGCTTATTTCCCAATGATGCGACACACTGTATATATTTTATTGTTTTATCAACGAAATGAATCATAACGAAACAATTTGAATTTATCACCTACCTCCTGCATATTTATGGCACGTATATAGTATTGTTTATATGTATAGGTAGGTAGATATATAGTAAATATTTCTTTTTATTATTACAATATTAAACCTTATTTACAATTTGATGATCATACAAAAAATGTTATTGCAACGAAATTAATGACAAATATTTCACTTGACACATTGTTCAGTACTGACTCATTGTTTACATTTCAAAATAAGTTTGTGCTACGTACCTATACCTATTATAAATAATTAGTATTTTGACTTTTCAGAAAACAAAATAATGATACACTTGAATGCAAATTGAAACATTTGAAATAACAGAATGATAGGTAGTAGACTCTTGATGTGAAATTGATAATAATTCTAATTTTGGCTATTTTTTTTGAAACAGTGTAGTTAGCTATCTACATATTAGCTTGGTAGCTATCAACTTTTTCAGAATACTATTTACCTATGCCAAGTTATCCACTTCATATTGGACTATATGAATATCATTTCAATATACGTGTAGTAAGGACAAATCAGATGATTTGCCCCAAAATGTCACTGCGATTAGCATTTTTTTATCAAGAGAGCCTAAAAGAAGAATTCACTAGCTTGTCTGTGACAATTTGTATTGAAAAAAGTTTGGAGAAGAGAAATAAAGGTATATAGAAAAAATATCGAATTTTTACTTAGCTTTGGATGTTTCGGGAACGAATCTGCTCCCGTTTTCAACATAAAAAATGGATTTTTTTGTATCGCAAATTCGTATTTATAAAGAAAAGACACATCGACGAATCGAAACTAGCTGAACATATCCTTACTGAAGATGGACAACACATGACAGAGTGGAATAATATTAAAATCATAGGAAAATAAGATAACGACCAGAAAAAAAATCAAGGAATCTGCTTGCATTCTTCTGAACGGAGACAATAGCATTGCTTCCTGTTCAGTTGATATAGATAGAAAATGGTATTCACTACTGAAATCTGAAAATGAAAATGATTAATTAATGAAAACATCCTGTAACTCATTTGATTGCCAACGTCACCAATTGTAACTGAGAACTGAAAAGTATCAGGACAAATACGAATTTGCGATACAAAAAGTACATTTTTTATGCTGAAAACGGGAGCAGATTCGTTCCTGAATCGTCCAAAGCTAAGTAAAAATTTTATATTTTGTCTATACACCTCCATTTCTCTTCTCCAAACTTTTTTCAATACAAATTGTCACTGACAAGCTAGTGCATTTTTCTTTTAGGCTCTCTGATAGGAACATTTTTTAAACGCAGTGACATTTTGGGGCAAATCATTCGATTTGTCCTTACTACACGTATATTGAAATGATATTCATATTTTTATTTTATAGAAATGAGGAGAGAAAATTCCGAAAACTCTGGAATAATGAATTTAGCGTAGAATCTAAATAAATGCAATAATATACAGGGTGTCCTATTCAAAAAAATAAACTTCTAAGTTGCTGCGATTTTTTGAGACACTCTGAGTGTAAATGGAACTCAACCCATTGAAGAGATCGAATGAAACCATACAAATTATTCATTTAATTTTTTTTTGTTATACTTGAATGTAAAATAAGGGAGTTACGGAGGAGGCGACGGACTTTTGGTCCTCACTGTATGTTACAACATGGCGACATCACAGCCTACTTTACACGATCAAACTGCACAGTTAAGTTCATGTCTAATTTCGACTTGTTATCATTTTTTTTTGGCGTCAGACCAGTCTATCGGAATATTCACAGCGCTTTCGAGAGATGAGTCATCCATAATATGTTGTTACTCCTTATAAGTTGCAATGTTTCGTCACAAAAATTTGACTCTTGTTTGACCTCAACAACTGTTAATCTTGCATGCATATATGGTTTATTCAATTCGAGCAAATATGAGAAAGTTATTACCCTACCAAAGATAGGTACCTACTTGTGAGTAACGACAAAACGTGAGTTGAAATCTCTTCTTCATGAACTTGAACGAAATTTTTTTCATTCATTTTTCAAATAAATATTTTTTCAGTTTTTCAACTAGATTTTTGTCATATATCACAATGATTATATTCCATGTTGATTGTTGATGGTTTGATGCTCCTGAAGATAATGCCAGAATTAATTGTTTTCTGCTAAGTATACATCCATTCATTAGCACTTATTTACTAAATTGTTCGTCTTAGTAATTTGATTCTTCCTGTTTGAGGGGAAGTATAACTGCTTCTTTCGGTCTGATGAACACCCCGTTACCAAACTCTAAATTATTCGGAATTTTGTACCTTCATCAATAAATTAGACTCCATCAGAATCAAAAATAACAACGAACGAAGTATGTGTACAGTGTGTCCCACTTACCATGCTCACCATGGGTATCTTTTTAACGGTGAGAGATACGAGTTCGGTTAAATCACACCAAATGTGGAGTTTGTCAAGGCCAACTATAATGTGAAAAAATATTTTGATAAAATCTATTCGTTTTTGTTTTTTACGCAAAAAACAGATTTTGATCATTTTCATGTCTCCTCCGTAACTTTTTTATTTATGAAAATATTCAAATAGGAATTTCACATTCTCATGGCAGTTTTCCAAAGTGATTTCGTAAAAAATATGAAATGTATACCAACTCTTCTAGAATTTAAGATATCAGCACCAACTTTAGTTTTTCAAATGTAGGTCATAGCTCACTATGACTTAGTTACAAATAACTTTTTTTTCTCTTACAGATGATATGTCGCAGTAATAGTTTTGTGTTGATAACAACGGAGTTATCGTCATTTATACACAAACAAGAAATTATTTGGAAGCCGCCATCTTGAATTTATAAATTTTAACAAGAAAATCATGATCTCCGATCACAAAAACCCCCACTTACCAATTTTGAATGGAATCGGACCAAATCTTGTCCGCCATCTTGGAGCAGCCATTTTTTTAAATCAAATGTTGCAAGTGAATTATGACTCACTTCTGGCCGTCCTATCAACTTGAAATTTGGCAGATGTTCGTAAATCCGGTGACAATACATTATGGAATTTTTGTTGAAATTTAAAAAAATTGCTGCTCCAAGATGGCGGACAAGATTTGGTCCGATTCCATTCAAAATTGGTAAGTGGGGAATTTTGTCGCACTTTTTACGGAAGCACCCCCGTATCTTACGTAATTGACTTTATCTTTGGACTTTCCCTTCCTCCTGCAAATTTCAGAACCCTACCTCAATAATTACCGAAAATTCTCCAGGAAAAATATAAATAGTCAGTTCAACCTATTTTGACTCCTAATATGATTTTCCAGTAATTGGGGTGGTTCCTTGGCTGTTGGCGAGCAGTGTATTTCACTGAAGATGACCCCACTTAGTCTTAGAGTGCATTTTTGGTATATCTTTCGCTCCAGCAAATTTCAGGATCCTCACCCAACGATTACGTGAGATACAGGGGTTTTTCCATTAAAAATGGGTCACACTGTACATCCATTTTTTTATGTTCATAATTATATCTGAGGATACTCCTTTTTAATACTCTCACCCAATCAAGGGGTTCAAACTTGAACGATGGAAACTTGTTTTTTTTATAGATCTCCAATCGCAGATTCGTGATTAGGTTTCCTCAATTCAGAATTTCTTTCTACGTCCTATATGATGAATATCAATTCATCATACATCCAAAAGCTTAACATATCAGAACTTCCTGTTGAACGCCTTTGAGAATAAAACCCAAGTTGATAGTATCTATACCGATTTTTCAAAGGCGTTTGACAGGGTGAGTCATACTTTATTAATAGCAAAACTTAGTGATATGGGTATAAATCTTGGTTTGGTAGCATGGATTGAAAATTTCTTATTTGGTCGTCAACAGCAGGTGAGGATCAAAAGTTTTTTATCTAACGTAATTCCAGTACTGTCAGGAGTTCCTCAAGGCTCTCATTGTGGACCGTTACTTTTCAATTTGTTTGTCAACGATATTAGCAAATATATTTTTCACTCTGTTTTTACATTATATGCTGATGACTTCAAAATATATAAAGAAATTCAGCATCATATGGATATTGATCTGCTGCAATCTGATTTGAATAACTTCCATGTCTGGTCTAGAGTTAATTACTTGGACCTCAATATTTCAAAGTGTTTTTGTATCACTTTCTCAATGGGTCATAATTATATTGAAAACGCTTATAGAATTAATAACTCTGTATTGAAGAGAGTCAATGAGATAAAGGACTATTGCCATCTGGTTAGACCTTCACTTGAGTATGGTTCCATCATTTGGAGGCCTTTTTATCAAATACATATTGATAGTTTAGAGCGAATTCAGAAAAGGTTCCTGAGAACATATTCATATCGCAAGAGTTATCATGTTGCTCATATAAACTACCCAGATATCTTAATGGAGCTTAATCTACTAACTTTAGAAAATCGTAGATTATTGTTGGATATGTGTTTCCTATATAAATTGGTCAATGGCCTTATTAATTCTCCAGATCTGCTTAGTTTGATTAGATTTAATACATTGACCAGAACAAGAAATCCTTTATTTTCCTTGACTTTTCACTCAACGAATTATGGCAACAATAACCCTATTTCAAGGCTACAAAGGAATTATGTTGTTCTTCAAAATCATTGTGACCTATTCTGTGGCAGTCTAGGTAAATTCAAAACTAATGTTGTGAAAACAATTAGGAATACCTGATTAATATAATAAGTGCTACATTTCTATGAGTGTAATTTTCATTGCGCCTACTATTATTATTCATATTTTTGTTGTATTTTTTTTTTTTATAAAAATGGTGTAACCGTTGAAATAAATAAATAAATAAATAAATAAAAGCAATTGGTCTTGTTCTTTTTTTTTCAGATGTCCTGCACAATTCCCGCCGCCCCTGCACCTCCGTCCCTCAAGGACTTGCCCAAGGTCGCAGGCGATTTCAAACACGAGCTGGAGGGATTCAAATCGAGCAATCTGAAGAACGCCGACACGGTCGAGAAAGTGGTGTTGCCCTCTGCGGAAGGTGGGTTATTTTCGGAAATACCGTCTTGTGCTATTTTCGGTATTTGGCAGAAGATCGTGGTCTTTGTCCGAATCTCGAATGAGGAACGCCACGAAATGTGGGAGATTCTTTTGTGATTCGAGTTGGTTCTCGATCAACAAACATTTTCAAGATATTCGACATGATTTTTCAATTTTCCATAAACCTTCCCACACTGATATCACTATTCATAATAATTCAACACACCCTTATCAACATAGAATTGCAGCATATAATAGTATGATACACAGGCTAGTGAATGTCCCTCTTTCGGAAGTAAATTTCAATGAAGAACTCAATATCATAAGACAGATTGCAGTCAACAACGGATACAACGTTAATTCAATAGACCGTATTTTTTCTAAAAAACTTCATAATGAAGCTGCTATTCAAGACGATTATTCTACAATCAAAATTATAGATCTTTAACCTATTTTGGATCATCAACTGATTCATTTCTACATAAACAGGACTTAAAAGTAGCATATACATAAGATGAATTATTTGAAAAAGAAAACAAATTCAACATACTCCAACCATATATTAGAAGAAAACCATAGTTTTGATGATAATTTCGAAATCCTACACGTAGAAAATAAAGGAATGAAACTCAATCATTTTGAATCACTAGAAATCAACAAACTCAAAAATTTTGACATTTTACTTAACGATCAATTAGACCTCAATAGTTCACCACTGTTGAATTTGTTTTCTTAGTAAAGTAATAATATGTTTTTGATATCAACCCTTTCAAGTTAATCCGGTACACACAGTATTTTAATGTAGATATTGTGCCTTATTTCCGAAAATGAAGGTTTTTCTGACCTGTCCACAGGTAATTCTTATCCTTCAGGTTGGGAAAGTAAGATATATAAGCAAGCCAATGTTAGTTTAGTTCATCGTACCAGTATATCACCTGACGAAGCTACTGTGTTAGCGAAACAGTGTTTGAGAATTTTTAGGAAATCTTCACATATTTGTACCGGGTGAGACATTATAAAAGTATAGGTACTATTCCCTAAGGCAGGGGTGGCGAGCCAATTCATCTGTTTGAAGAAGCTGGCTCGTGCTATTTTAGTCATAAATTAGTAATTTTTAAAAATTAAATCACAGAATTAGACTGACAGCTATTTGATTACTTCAAAAGAATGATGAAAATGCCTGCAACGCAGATGTCATTTCTGTTAAAAACTTAAAATTTCACGTACATTGCAGTACCTTAGTTTCTCATTTTATCATTATTTTACTCTGAGAATCTTGTATATTTCATAATGATCAAGTTATTGTCACAAATGAAAAAAGAAAGTGTGAGAAAGAGGTATAGCTTGATAACAAAATGAGAAATTACATGGCGTATGAGAAATTGAGCAAAAACTAAAACTATTTTCTCTGTCATTTGAATGCAAAATATGATTACTCAAGTAGAAGACTACTGATATGCAATTGGACAGCTAAAATTGCAGATTTTCAACATACATACCCCTTAAATTTCTTTTCCATGACTTGGGGAATTTCGTAGACAGTGTACCTAACTTTTTAGTCTCCCTGTTATTATACGCCTTGGAGCATTTTTGTGAGCAGCCTTGTAGCACCGACGATTTCAAGAGATATGATTATTTCATACATCTCATTCACATTGTAACACTTATAATGATAGATCAAAGTGTGCCATTACAGTATTATTCATTCAGAGTTCCTATTATGGTAGTAGTCTAGTCGTTCGGTAATATGTAAAAGCATCATTTTTTTTAGGCTAAGGCAAGGATCATATACATACACACTGTTACATTCTAATGTGATGAAACCATGAAATGATCTACCCAGTGGTTATTTTTCTTTCTTTCTTGAAAAATTATATCATCATAATCATGTTATGATTTCATAACATCAATCTCCTAGCCAAATAGGAAGGAGAGATACTTTTTAAAAGAACGATAAAAATACATCATGGCTGCAGTGAGGAATATGATAGGCGAGTGGAGTATTTTTTTCATTTCTTAAATAGAATCATCAGTATCATCACTCAAATACCATTCACTTTCATATTCTTTTAGAATTTCTTGGTTGATTTTTAGGTGTTAAAATCATCAATGATGCCACGGTAATTTTCAAACGGATAGAAATTTACCGCAAGTAAAAACTGACGTCACGATTTCTTAAGTATAGGCAGACCATAGCACAGTATATTGCTCATAATACATTTGTGTAAATAGTTATTATATTAATTCACACTAGAGAACATTTGAAGCGGTGAAAGTGACAACACGGCGCGCACGACTTGTGGGCGTGGTCTTGTCCCTTCTCAGTATTCAGCACAATGTTGCCAAGTCTCCAACATTCACATGATATTTGCTCTGATAAGTCAAGAATGAACTATGATATCATCATAATATCCTCCTATTATGTTTTATTCAACGACAGGACCCTTATATCTTTTTGATTATAATTTGTGACTTGTCGTCACTGGCTTCGTGAGTGGAATGGAAGATTATCTGACCAATAACGAAACAGCATAAAAGCTGACGTCACCATTTATTCGACGTATCGCCAAATGGTGGCCATGACGACACGTTTGAAATGAGTTCCGAAATTCAACAATTTCGAACAACGCATGCACTCATTATTTACATAAAAAAAAGGGTGAGGAGTGTTGCAAAAATTAATTTAGGTCCATAAAACGACATAGTGAAGTAATTGAATGCCAATAATTCATTATAAAAGTCCACTCGCCCATTGATGGAATCAACGTTACCATGGTAAATCAATCGAATTCTTGGAATAGGAGTATAGACTTTTATATTTGCTGTCAATTGAAGTCATTATTTTGGGTTCGATCATGTCGTTTTTGCGTCTCAGGAATATCAAGGGAACTGTAATATTAGATAATGAACCATTACAACTCGATCACAACTAAGTCCTGAATTATACAGGATTGCTTATTACAAGTTACCTATACGCCGGGCAGTAAATCAATCCGCGAGCGGTAAAGTGTCACGCCGCGAAACCGGGCGGTTAAGTGCTACTTTACGCCCTGTCATGCATACAATATTTTATGACGAAACTTATATTATTTTCGCTTCACTCGGCTACACAAAACGCAAAAAATAGAAAATGATATGATAATATTTCTTTTTTCTGCAACCGACACAAAAGTCGTCCATTTTGATACCAAAATTAGCTCTTAAATTGACGTTTCTATTACTGACACAAAAATACGTATGTTGCTAGGCAACATATTTAGTTCCTAGGAGCTAAAGTTGAATTTTAGTTCCTAAGAGCTAAAGTTGAACTTCAGCTCCTAGGAACTAAAAAGGATGTACTGGACGTCATCAAGAATAAACAACATTGTGACGGTTGGTTATTTGTGTTGAGACGCATACCTGATTTGTTTCCGATTTCAGCAGATTTGGCATTTCATACCCATGCTGGAGATATAAATACACCTTATTATAGTTTAGTATTGGAATTATAAACATCTCAGCTAAGTATTTTTGTTTGATCAGGGAAGCCTTCAAGATTCAAATACTTGCTTGATCTGTATTTCATTCGTTATTCTCGGGACGGATAACTTGTTTTTGAATAATCACGGCAAGCAATAGTTTTTTGTCTCAAACAACGATATTGTTTAGTTTCATTTGATTATCAAGTCGAACACAGTGTAGTATGGAAAGGAATACATAATCACTATCATCATTGTTGATATGCTCACTAACCTAACATTTTCCACGTCTTATTCCTATAGCTGGCACTGGCGCGGTATTTACCATTAGAGCACCTGGTCCATACACAAATATGTCACTCTGTGGTTGTATTTATATTGAAACTACAATTCGAACATCCTAGAAAACCTAACCTGCTGTTAATGCAGGTAGAATATTCTCACCACATGATGGATTATTTGTCAATATTTGTTGCATTGCATACATATGGCACGGCATTGGTGGTTACTTCACATGTTTATTTGAGTTGATTCGGTTGCAGAAAAAATAGCATGTTTCATTCGGATCAAAAGTGACTTTGTTCGACTCGCAAATTTTGCTTTCGCTCGGCTTCGCTAAACGCTCCGCCTCGCAAATGCAAAATTCGCTTGTCAAACAAAGTGTCACTTTTGATCCTAATGAAACAATCTACTATTATTGGAGCAAAACAATAATTTGCATTTGTCAACTATCTCGGTATTCAAAATATTATGACTTTATTATTCCTAGCATATTGAGTAGGAAATTATTAATAATGAAAAAAATAATCAGGTGCCCCACATTAAAATACCTTCGTAGGCGATTCAACTAGCCCACGAATGTCAACTAAGTAATTATCGATATCACGAAATCAATGATATTTAGCAATATTAATGACAAATCAGTGCGAGGTATTGTTTCACTTTTTAATATGAATCAATTATACCCACCAACAAACTATTTCTTTTTTACTCCAGTGACTTTGAGAAAATACACAGGCATTTCATGAAATCCACGAAGAAAAAATTATTTCATAATTCGATAGAACTCACCCAAACTAGCTAATCACCGCAAACTGTTTCTTGCTGTGAGCTCCCTACGATTTATAAAAAATTATTGAAATCCCCGATTTTTCGGACCTCTGAAAACGAGGCAATGATGTGACGTCAAAACCCTAATACTGAAACAAGACTATTCCAGACAGAGATGAATGATACATACTTTCTGACAGAGCGAATTAGCCCGACGGAGACTGAGGCAACTGATACATTAAACCTTTCAACTGTGATCTCGCGCTAATTCACTCTGTCAGAAATCATGTATCATTCATCTCTGTCTGGAATAGTCTTGTTTCAGTATTAGGGTTTTGACGTCACATGCATCATCGCCTCGTTTTCAAAAGTCCGAAAAATCGGGGATTTCAATTTTTTTTTTTGTGATATAAGCCCATTGATCAGCTGCAGATACAAAACAATGTGTATTAAGAAGTGCAAATGCAATAGATTTAATTTGCAGTGTACTGCT